ATCTCTCAAAATGTCGCAGGGGAGTTACAATAAACAAAGATGCATTACTGAAAACTGACATAAAAACCTACACACTTGTAACTGAAATGCTGTTTTATGTTTAATCAGTGTTTGACATTCCGGACCTGCCAAACCAGTTTGCAGTCAAATGAGTACTAAAACAGACAGACCCAGATAAAAGCATCTAAAGTATCATCAATTCTTGGTAATGGTTGACTATCTTTAACAGACAATTCATTAAGTTTGCGAAAATCGAAACAAAATCTTATTGCACGTTTGGTTTCGTAACCATGAACACAGGACTTTATCCAGGGCACTTGTGGGAAGGCTCTATAATACTTTGGTCAGCCATTTCCTTAATTTCTTTTTTCTGCGGCTAAACGTTTTGCCAGGGGAACCCTATAAGGAGCTTTTTTTATTTGGTCTAGCATTTCCTGTTTCTATTGTGTGCTCAACAATATGTGTTCTTCCAATATCACCAGAATCTCGAGAGACACATTTTGATGTTTATATCAAAAGATTCTTTAACCTTTTCTGCCTCGGCATTTTGTTAAATTTTCAACGGCCTTCTCTAAGACATCTTTTAAAATGAATTAGGTATCTTTGTATCATACTCTCAGACACCTACTGTTTCCACGTTAACAATATCTGGGTTGCATCACAGCTTCATAAAATGCAGCCACGGTATTTTATAAACTGTACAAGGCTCTCGGTATTTAAATTAACCACTTCGTATTGGTATGTTTCCACTTTCATATCAAAAGAGCTTTTTGCGACCAAAAGACCACTCTTTTCAGAGAATCTAGCATTTGTTCAATTAATTCCTACTGTATTACGAATAGTTGACATTAGATTTCCCTAACACTATTACTTTCGGTTTCTGGTGGTATAGGATTTGTATTTTCTTTCACCAATTACGACAACTCGTAGCTAACGCGCATTTTTCATCTCTATGAAAGCAAGAGACATCTTCTCCATTAAGTTATAATACTGTTTTTGCAACATCAATCTTTACATTGATTAGCTTTAAAGAAATCCATACCCAATATCATCTGGTTTTTTTATATCTGCAGGAAAAATATTGCTGTTAGAAACATTGTGAACCTATTGTAATGATTGACTTTAATTTTACCATAAAAAGGAGCGCGTTTTCACCAGTGGCAGGTAGTAAGCGCTCATGTTAATTGGTATTATTTTCCGGTTCTTGTCACTCCGAAATTTTATCATAAAAACTTTTACGGAGAATTGTAACATTAGATCCTGTATCAACTAACATAGAAAACTTTAATATCATATAACTGAGCAGAGAGCAAGAAATATCCATCATCTTTCGTCAATTTTGATTAGCAATTTATATTGTGTCTGATTTGGACCTCTGGCCGGGTTTGAATTTTCGGTCCTTAAACTCGAGCCGCGCCCGTTTCCCGAGTAGTTATTTTGCTTAAATGCTTGGACCATTGTCATGGGCCTATTATGAAATGATCTTCGCTCGTCCTTGATAATGTATGGTCCTATAACTGTTATCAAACTATGCAAATTTTTGGTTTTTTTCATTCCGCAGTATGAAATTGCTTTAGGTTTGTTATTGTCATACCTGAGCTGTATTAACATTTTTCATATTGATAAGACAATATTAATTTTCTGTCGGTTTGAATTTACCTCAAGTTTGCATTATTTCTTAATGATTCCTGCCACCTGCTTGTATCAGCTTCCTTATGAACATAACTTACTGCAATTCGTTCTGCCTTCATTAATAGGATTTGGGCCTACTCTATACTCAATCTTAATGTAGTATCTGGGTAATAGCATCGACAAATATGTAATGCTAATAATCAAACGACCTCGATGAAGCATCGGATAAGCTTTTCTAGTTACTTTCCTAAAGACTGTGCTAACTCTGGTAATTAGTTTCAGTTTCTCCAAGTGTTCTAACTTTGTAGATGTGAGCGAAATATTTCTGCTTTGTGGACAGAACCCATAACGATTTTTGCAGTACATATACAATAGAATCAAAATCACGTCTTTTCTCGTTATCTAGCTCGCATAAGATCGCCCGTGCACCCCCTACTATACTACTCGCAAGAAAAGCGATTTAGTTGTATAACTCCAATTATTCAATTCAGCTACAATATTAAATTGAGGATAAATATTCGTCTAAATCATCAGACCCGTCATATGTCTGTGGTTTTAGTTTATTATGTGTTACGTCACTACCCTGGTATGGTCGTTGTCTATTAACATGTTGACCGTATGGTATCTGTAAGTTTGGTGTGTCACCACTCATACCCAACTGTGAATTTTGAATAACCATTTGTGGGCCATTATTATTAATGTCTTCAACAGTTAGGAGTACTGTTTATAGGTCCTCGTCCATACATAGTATGGGGATGCTTCTGATATAATTATTTTTTGTAAATTCAACTTTACCACAAATTAGTTGTACGTTATCATTTGATTTTTGGTAAATGGTCTAAGCTTAGATTTCGAATAATAAACCCACTGACAATGAAATTCTTACTTCCTTCATTTTGAACTGACACACAAATTTTGAATGTAATTGTGTGCTAAATAATAACTATTTTCTCTAAAGTAATAGTGGTTATTTCTCATCTCAGTGTTTTTCTAAAATTAATCCTTCAGAGTGGAATGACGGACTTCATTCCTCAGTCTGCCATTGACTAACACCAGGATTCTGACTCACAATCGATGTCTTCACATTTCGATTAACTCTATTAATCTGATTAAAAGTTAGCAATATTTGATTCCTCGATTTAAATGCAAAGACCAAATTTACCGAACGACAAGGTAAATCACAATAAGCACGTGCACAAACTAAATTACAAGTCCTAAGTAGTTGTTCTTCGATTATTTAAGTGATATCCCAATGCACCAAATTTGGTAGCGTTTACCCCCATGTTTAGTAGCGATAATTATAAAGAGTTACAAAGAAACATGGGGCAAACTACAATGATTCCGCGCTGGCGGCTTTTGTAATTGATATTTATGCCTGTCTGGAGGAATAAGGAGGGACAATTTAAAGTTTTTAAAGATTAACTTTATATTAAGGCTTAAACAGTAATAACGCAACAGCTAAATATATAATCATATAGTATATTCAAATAGTTATATTTGTATTTACGACTAATAGTAAATATTGATGCACCTAATTCTTTTAATCATCTGAAATACAATACAAGCGATTCTTTTCGAACACCATGTCAAATTGTTCCTAAGATATTTGTTCCAAGTTTTAATGTAGGAGTATTCTTAGCAAGTTCACACTTTAATATGTTATCACCGAGAAACAAATACACTTAAATATTATATTCACCGATTTAGTGGTTTCATACCACAAAGAAACTAGTATCAAATATAGTTAGACTACGCCGCCGTAAGATTTACCCTTTTGTAGCTTTACCAGTTGGTGAATTTTACCAGTTGGTAAATGTTAGCAACTTCGACAATCCTCGTCACAGTTTATCAACATCTTTGAACAATTGTACACATTAATAAATTAGCACTTGAAATATACGCATGATAGAGATTAGTTATGAGAAATACACGTTGGTTCAATGGTTTATAATTTTCACCAACTAACAAGGTAAATTTAACGAACTTTACACTTTAAAAAGAATGGTTATATTGGTAAACACAAGACTTAAACACTTTGAAACACTGGAGATGGAGACACTTAGGAATTACCACATTTTTTTTTTTTTTGGTTGATTTAGGGAACTTTACCTCTTCTGTGCCCATAGTTATTTTACCAATTGAATTTATTTTCTCGTTGGTGAGCGACACACGGAATACCCTCGTCAATGGTATTCCCGAAAAAAATAACAATGCCGCTGTATTTATATGAAAATTTCGTCAGATGTGACGTCATCAGCGATGACGTAGTAGGAAATGTAATGGCGGACATAAACCAGGAAGTAACTCAAAATTCACAATTCTTTTCTGGATTTTGAACTTATAAAAGCACTTTGAATGTTTTTAAAGGTACATTTTGTGAAAATAACAGTTATATTATTGATATTTATCAATAATTTTTAATACCATTTAAGAATATATGAATAAGACACGATTATCTGCTGAAATAAATAGCGGCGAATTCAAGCATAAAAATACGTCACTTTTAAAGCGTAGATTAGGGTGCACAGTAATTATTTCCTGAAAACAACATGAAATGTCAACACATATTACAAATATACATCATGAACAGTATTATAGTACTACAATATTATACATAGTACATTTAAAATACATAACAATATTTCTAAGGAAAAGAAAGTGGGTGGGATAATATAAATATTTGTTTTACATTGAGGTGCGATCGTTACAGTGTATTTTAAATTTTGTTTTGTTTGCTTGTTTGTTTGATTGTTTGTTTTTGTATTGGTAGTCTAAATGTTTTAAGTTGCATCAGCTCTATTATTATCATAAAGCGATTTGAAGCTTAGCTCGTAGAGACAGACCTAATGTGCCCATCTAAACATTACTTTAGGCAAGAACGGGCACCTGATTAGAGCCACCAACATCCGTAAGTTAGCTTGATAGCTTCCTCATAGAATCCAAAATCCGTGGCGGGTCTCGAACGGTGTGAGGGGCAAGTGGTTTGAAGTCAGCGACTTTAATCACTCGGCGCAGTGGCACCATAATGAAACTAGACAAATAAGTTCACGAGTTATAATATTTGGACGCCAAATAAAATTTAAGGAAAAAAGAAAAACAAAAGCGCTCTAATTTTAGGGAGCAAATTCAGTTTCTGGTGTCAACGAGTGATTCTGTGCTATAATCAGCATTTTATATGCAAGTTCATGTATGTAAAATGAGGGATATGTGCATTTGAGTTTCCATTACATTATAGAAAAACACTATTTAAGTTACTTTTACAGGTGCAACTTAACTGGTAATACAATTAGTTAGTGTTGTGCTAATTCTCTCTAAATAGTAGCGAAATAAGTTTGTAATTATCTAAATTTGCTGCGTGCTGTTTTAAGAATGTGATGCTGGATTTTGGGGTATGAATTGTGCGAAAATGTGCGGACACTGTTTATCTGGAACATGTAATGCTAGAAATGGAGAATGCAGTGGTGGCTGCGAAGCCGGGTTCAAGGACACGTTTAAATGTGATCAAGGTAGGCTGTCTTATTGAAGCATATATACTATCGTATCAATATTTAATATTAAACACTTAGGGGTGAGTGACTTTTGTATACGGTATCACTGGGTCAGCGCTAATGGTACATGCTAATTTTTCGGCCGAAGTGCGTCTGTAATCAGTTTAACTTCCTGCAAAATTTACAAGGAAGAACTGAATATTAGAAGAATTTTCATTGGTCATTTTAAAATTACAAAAAGAAATCTGGGAATTCCATTGGAGAGTTCTTGCCATTCTTAAATACAAATTTAAGGACAGTTCTTAAATAAAATGTAGTAGACAGTTCTTTAACTTTCTAGTTTAATTGCTCTGATATTCAAGATAACCATGCCATGGTCACGGATGCCCTTAGATATTCTATTTTGTATTAGTGTAATGATGGCATTGAATTAATATATATTATTTTTTCGTCGTGAAAGAATGTGACAAATTTTCATATGGTGATAAATGCAACAGCCTTTGTAGTCCGGAATGCAAGGATATTTGTGACAGGGTTAACGGTACATGCAGTAACTGCACTTCCGGTTGGAAAGGAAGCAAGTGTTTGCAAGGTGAGATGATGGATATTTCTTTTCGGAAACAATCGGATTTTATCATTGGTATTATTATTATCATCATCATCATCATCATCATCATCAACATCATCACCACCACAATCACCATCATCATCATCGTCATCATCATCATTACTATTATTATCAGGAATTGATTTTTTAGCATGCTATTCTATCATTATGCCCCCTAGTGTTTTGAAAGTAATTATTTTCAAGCGTACAGTTGAGCTGTGGTTTTGATGTGCTACTGATGCCATATCCCAGAGCTGGTTATATCGATGACAGCGGAACGCCAGTGGTTCTATTCAGGTCCCCGTTTGTGCCTGAAATAAAGCACAAAGGGCACCTGAGGCCTTTCACAAGTAAAGCTGAAACGTTGCCACATGACCTATACTGTGTCAGTGTAACGTAAAACTTTGACGCAGAACTTTAAATTGCAAAAAATAAGACAAAGTTCAAAACTAGCTTCATTGTATATATTAAGTTTAGTCGTACGATTACAGACCTTAGAAATGACTTCTCGGCGCTTCTTCTTTTTATCTTTTTGTCTCTGGTTTCTGTAGAATTGATACTAAAATATGCTGTTAAGCTACTTCATGATTTGTCATCTTTTTATCTTATTAAATATTCATTGTGCCAAACATTATTTTACAAAATAAAAAAAGTGAAAAAATACACACCTTCAACTTTTAAGACAATTGTTTTCTTTTCTGCAGAATGTGACAGTGCCGAATGGGGCGAAAATTGTGAGAATCAATGCGGGCATTGTTTAAATGGGTCATGTGATTCATCTGATGGCACGTGCGATGGAGGATGTTCACAAGGGTATAAAACAACAGACAGATGCACAGAAAGTACGTGTTATATTTGAATATAAATTCCTCCCTTAATTTAAATGTGATATTTGCCATTTCGCACACAAAGAGTTAGATGATGGAGCTTTTGGATTAGTGTTGCAGCTTTATAAAGTAAATGTCAACATACTTAAAACAATGAAATGACTTATCTAATTCGAGATACAAAAGTTCAAATTGTTCAAAATGCATAGATTTGTTTTCATACGTGAGGAACAATGAGTGATGTAACATGATGTAATGTTCGAAAAAATACCCTCAATTTAGACCACAATTGGGACTGATCCAAAGTGGTGTTAATTGCGGGGTGGTCTTAAATGTCAATATTCTTATGGCTTACATACTTTATGTCCACGGTGTATTTTAGTCATGTTGCATGAACAAACAATATGTATCTTAACAATATAAAAGTATGTTATAACATTTTATCTAATGAGTGGTAGATATATTTCTGAAGTAATATAACATTAAATTCTCTTTGGTTTGATTTCAATATTAATTAACATTTGATGTACATAGTTCACCTATCAAATAAGATATTTATTTTTCACAAAATAAATGTGCTGAAAGCAACATTCAACCACTCTAAAATTTACTTTCAACCTTTTTTTTCATACAATAGTCCCATATCAACAGTTTTTCACACCTTGTGAAACCATGTGTCATGCATAAGAACATTAAAAAAAATTAAGAATTTGGTAGGGGTTAACTTAAATATCAATGGTCTCAATAGTGGGATCAAAGAAAAACAAATAAAAAAATTGGGACTGAATCTGGTGGTCTTAAAATTGGATAAGCGAGGTGGTCTTAATTCTGGATAATGTAACCATTGATATAAAGAACAGAACATTCTGTTCTTTTTAAAAATGGTCTTAATAACGGGGTGGTCTTAATTTTATTAAGTTGTGTTGTGACTTCTTTGTGACGTGATATGACGTGTCAATATCCCCTTCCGTTAACTTTAATATTACTAACTATGTTTCTTTTTCATTTGTATCTTATTAACAGAATGTCCAGCAGGGTGGTATGGAGCGGGTTGTTTAAATGTTTGCAGTAACAATTGTAAAATAATTGGAGCATGCAATCATATCAATGGCTTTTAAAGCTTTTAAAATTGTCATTTCATTATTAGGTGTTTATAAGAATACAATCAAATTATGGTCTAACAATAATAAGTATGTCATATCTATAAAATTCAATGTTAACTTTCAGAATGTGAGGACGGTTACCACGGTTATAACTGCTCTGGCGTCTGTGGTAATTGTAAGCCGGGAACCACATGTGACAAAATCACTGGAGTGTGCGATGAAGGATGTTCGGACAAGTACATGGGTAGCATATGTGTTGAAGGTGAGCGATTTAACACTGTCGCATGTACATTTGACAGTATGCAACTTCGTATATTGTGTTTAAGTTGAAAAACGTAATATATATTTCAATTAATTTGCAGTTTTGTTATGTTCTGTAGAGATTAATAAATATGATCGTGACCTTACTAATGTGCCATATTCTAGTTTCATAGCAAATATTTATTGACAATAAACTCTTCTTTTTTTGAAAATCGCCTGAATTAGTCTTCGAATAAATCCAATAATTTTGATATTTTAGCATATCGGTAATAATCTCTTTTCGAAAATATTTACAATTGCCTGGAATTTAAGAAACTAGTGGGCTGCACGCACGTTATTTGAATGATATGTTACAGTAAATGAAATACTAAATTCATTCAATTTAAACATATCGCTTTGATTGAACGACCAATCAAATCACGCGTTGATACACATTTTACACGATGAATACGAATTTATAAAATATAGACACAAAATAAACATTTTTTTGTTTGTTTTCAGCAATGATACAAAAAAGTAAAGATACAGATAGCTTCCCCGTGGCGGGTGTTGTCGGCGGCTTATTTGCTGCTGTTGTTGTCATAGCAATACTGGTGCTTGGTTGTTTGTTGTGGAGACGAAAGAAACGAAAAACGTATATGTTAAACACATTGTTTAACTTGAATTTATCTCATGGAATATTTATTTTTTTACATTAAAACCAAAATCAGGTCTGACAAAATTTGTCATGAATTTTAACTTGAGTCAAAATGACACGTAACTATTAACTGCTTGGAAAAAAGGCTAGCTAAGTAAAATCAAAATTATTTGTACATGTACATATATCATCAAACTGAAATATAACGTAAAACAACGAAATAAAAATAAACTATTTACATGTATCTTAAATATACATACATATATATTTACATAACAGGGACATGCCACACAGTGATGTTACATTAGATTCATCCCCACTCGATGACCTAAAGGGAGAGCGTGGCGGAGATAAACAGAACAATGTTTATGGAAATAAGGTTGATAAACGGGACAATGTCTATGAAAATTCGATAGATAAACAAAATAACGTTTATGAAAACTCAGCTAATATACAAGCAGAGTTGGCTTTGTCAAAAGGTAAATACGTAACTCTTTTTTAAACATGTTTTGATTGTTTTACACGAACCGTTTCCACAAATTGTCCAACAACATTGACCTGGCACTCTTGCATTTGACCCTGTAGTCGGTTTATTACGTAAACTTTACGATCTACTTGTACATCGATATGCATGTAAATATCTAATTGTAACAATGGTGTAAATTAAAAAATATCTAGCGCAGTTGGTAAAGGGGGTTCACTTGAAGAATGTAGACGTACATGTAAACTGATAGGTTCGAACCCATTTTCACCTATTTATTTTTTTATTTTAAAATTATCATTCTCTTAAACCTATTGCGAACCTTTTTTTTGTGTGTACTATCTATGTAGTTTTTTAATATATGCCTTTAAAGCGTGTATATGCGCTAAAGCATATATGTATACGATGCATAATGTCACAAAAGAACCGCCGAAAGAAAGATACGGTAAGAAAATAAAAATATAATTGTATATAAAAATACCACTTAAAAGGTATTGTAAAACCAGGTTAGAAAAACGATTTCAAATTAATTTTTGCAAGTAAATTAAAAAAATATAACGTTGTGTTGCTAAGGACTCGAACCAGACACCATCAGATCGGTAGTCCGACATCTTTACCAATACACCACACATCGCTGACCAGTGAGGTTAGCAAATATATCGATATATTCGATAGATACTGGTCAGTGTTTATTCATATGACCTTTACGAAAATTAATGAAGTGCCAGGTCAATATTGTTGGACAATACGAAATGGTTGTCAGTCTGTTTCTATACCAGTGTTTATCTTTTTACATTAGGTACTAATATTATATTTACCCTTTTGTTTGCTGGAAAAATTGTCGTCTGCTAAAATGTCTTTTGCTTAAATTTTGAATTTACTCAAATGAAATCAGCACTATAAGGAGACTGTTACTCTCGGTTCCTGACAGGACGATGAGATGCTAGGCTTTTAGTCATAAATTTAAAAAAGTTCTTTGTGTAAGCCTACAGGACAGGAATATTAGGATTTATTATACCTCACGTAAATATTTTACGACATAGCCAAATTTCACGTCACATGGCGTTAATTCGATTTATCATCCTGAAAATGACTGCACATGGTCATTTTTTTTAAAAATATTTCCTAGGGGCGAGTAATCTATATAGACTGAAGTAAACTTAATGTTCTAGTTCTCTACCCTGATAAAAATCAAATGTGGTTCTCGAAGTAATAAAGCAGTAGCGGTGTAAAATTACATTAGAATGTTTTTTTTTTTTGTTTTTTTTTGTTGTTTTTTGTTTTGAGGCCCTATTTGGGTAACCCCGTTTATTTACCTCGTATTAGGTATGAGGGGTCGGGGTCTTCCTCCATCATACCTTACATTGTTAATATACAATATATATGTTGCAAAATAATTATATTAATGTAAATATTGTCAAATACATGTACAGTATATACTTTGTATATAAATATAAACAACATACATACAATTAACCCATCTTTTTTCCAAAAATATTTTACCAATAAAAAGCTACTATTTATTATTAAACAATTAAGCAATCTGTTACGAGGTAATTTTTTGTTTCACATATTAAGTGTAGTTTCAGCAATTAAGGATCTTATAATTGACCATCTATTATTTTCATCATCTGTCAAATTTGTATTTCTATAAATATTCCATGCTAATATCAAACTATTTTTAAAACCAATACATGTAGGTAAAAAGATTTTTCTCTTAGACAAATAAATATATCTTTTCAATTCTAGAAACAATATGTCATATTTAAAATCTTTAGTTTCTGTACCTAATATGAATGATTTACAACAAAGAACATCATCAAAATTTTGTTAGTTTTTATTTAATGTATTGAAATAGGCTTTGAATTTTCTGACATTCCCAAAATAAATGTTAATAAAAGTGTTTCTTCACAGCATTTACAAAAAGTACACATTTTATTGTCAACAATTTTCATTTTAAACAAAACTGAGTTTGTAGCTAAAGTTCTATCAATAATTCTTGTTTGGAACCACTGAATATATGAATCTTTAGAACATTTGAAAACATAACTATATATTAACTGCCAATTAATGTTATTATCTTTAAAACATGTGTTCCACCTTTCTTGACTTGTAGGTATGTCTGAATTTTTAGCTTTTGCATGCACATTTTTATTGCCTGTTTTAAACTATGATACTGTAAAAAGTTCACAGGTTTACCTGTGACCTGTTCTAAATATATCAAATCTACAAAGTTGCCCTGTTCATTTATAATTATATCTTTTACAAATCTGATGCCTTTATTATATAATGTCTGAATGTAAATATATCTATTTCTTGCTAAAAAGTTGTGATTTTAAAAAAATGGCATATGTAATACTTGCTCTATATTATCTATACAAATTTTATCTACAAACACCATATAAGCTTTTAAAACATCAATCCAGGAAGAATTTGTTATTTTACTAATAATCAAATTACAAAACATCTTTCCAGTGTTAAAATTTTTATCAATATTAAACAATGCGTTTACTAGCTTATAACATTTACTTTTGCTATTACTAATATATCTTTTAAACCATTTTATCTTTAAACTATGTATATAACTATGAATATCAACCATGTTTAAACCACCTTCTTTGTATGTTTTAATTAGTACTGATTGTTATGCCCCCACAGAGTGGGAGCATATAGCGTTGCAGTTGTCCGTCCGAGTGTCCGTCCGTACGTCTGTCCGTCCGTCCGTCCATCCGTCTGTCCGTCCGTCTGTCCGTACTTCCCGAAATCTTGTGATCGCAACTCCTCTTACACCGGATGGCAGATTTTGCTTAAACTTCCAGGGATGAACAATCTTAATGTGTAGATGGTAGTAAAGGAAGGAATTTTTGTTGCGACCAAATTTAACAGAATTATGGCCCTTTGTTGATTTTTTCACTATATACTATGTAGAAATTTTGTGAACGCAACTCCTCTTAAACCGGATGGCAGATTTTGCTTAAACTTCCAGGGATGAACAACCTTAATGTGTAGATGGTAGTAAAGGGAGGAATTTCTGCTGCGACCAAATTTAACAGAATTATGGCCCTTTGTTGATTTTTTCACTATATACTATGTAGAAATTTTGTGAACGCAACTCCTCTTAAACCGGATGGCAGATTTTGCTTAAACTTCCAGGGATGAACAACCTTAATGTGTAGATGGTAGTAAAGGAAGGTATTTTTGCTGCGACCAAATTTAACAGAATTATGGCCCTTTGTTGATTTTTAGTTTTCAACTTGTGGCACATGTAGTCCAAAAAATAGTTGACCTAGAGTCATAAGATTGACAGAACAGTGGCGTGTTGGGGCATCCGTGTCCTATGGACACATTTCTAGTTTTATTTGTGCATTGCCTTCCCCCAAAAAAATCATAAAATAAGTCATTAAGTGTTTTCAAAAATACAGTATTTGGTGTTGGTAGGCTTGTGAAACAGTGAGTAAATAAAGGAAGCAATATTGATTTAATAACAGCAATTTTTCCTATTGGAGTTAATATTTTCTTATTCCAGTGAATGATACTATTTTTTACTTTGTGAAGTTTTTCATTAAAATTTAAGTCATTCATTTTTTCTAAATCAACATCAAATATTAAACCTAACAATTTGAACTGTGTATCACCCCATGTTAATTTCCATCTTGTCTTAATAGACCTAGTACTATATTTAAGAGAGCCTATCCAAATAACCTTAGTTTTGTCAAAAGTTATCTTTAATCCAGAAATTTCTGTAAACTTTAAAGCACTATTTAGAGATTTTTCTGAACCATCTAATAGAAGTGATGTACCATCTGCAAATTGATTAATTTTACATTATTCCCCATCTATAATTATGCCTTTAACATCCTTACATTGTCTTATTTTTACTGCTAATATCTCTGCACATAAAATGAAAATATACGGTGAAATTGGATCGCCTTGCCTACAACCTCGCCTAACTTTAAAAAAATTGGATAAAAAAACCATTTAATATGACACAAGTTTCAGTATTGTATAAAAACAGAGATATCCATTTCCTAAACATAGGACCAAAACAAAATAACGAAAGACATTTCTCAATAAATGTAAAAGACAGAGTATCAAAAGCTTTTTCAAAATATATCACCATAATTAAACCTGGCATATTATTATCTTCAGTAAATTTCATTATATCATATAATAAACTAGTATTCTCACCAATTTATCTATTCTTAACAAATCCAGTTTGATCTTTTGACACTAAAATATCTAAAACAGTTTTCAATATATTTGCTATACTACCTGAAGCTAATTTATATACTACATTTAATAAGGTATTTGGTCTCCAATTTTTTAAAAATTGTTTTGGCCTGTTTTCTTTCGGAATACATGTCATGGTTCCTAATTTCTGATTTCTAGAAAATGAATTAGCATTATATGCATAATTAATAGCTTTCACAACAAAATGTCCTGTCCAATTCTATTCCGAAAGGTTTTAAAAAAGTTAACTGTAAATCCATCACATCCAGGACTTTTATCATTTTTAATTTTTAATGTAAAAGAGACTTCATCGTACGAAAGGAGACCTTCTAGTTTTACTGATTGTTCCTGAGACAACTAGTTTTACTGATTGTTCCTGAGACAACATAGTAATATCACAATTCTCTAATTCTTTATCAATATCAGAGTCATCAGTCAAAACAACATTTTTATACAAATTTTCATAATAAGAACAAGTTTCTGTAAGTATATCTTTTTGATCATATATAAAAGTTCCGTCATCAAGTTCTAGAAAAGGAATTGTTCTAGCTTAACAATGTGATTCTTCTAAATTATTAAAAAATAGTTAGTAGGTTTTTCTCCTAATTCAATCCACTGTGACCTAGACCCGAGCATAGCACCTTTAATTTTATTGCATCTAAGTTCATTCAGCTCATTTTGTAAATGTAAAAGTTTGTCTTTATTTTCAATTGTTAAATTTTGTTCAATATGAATAATTTCTTCCATTAGTTGTTTTTCATAAACATTTTTTCCTTTGCCTTAAGTGAGCTATAAGAAATAGTTTTACCTCTGATTTCCATTAATTTTTAAAGTGTCTCCAAAAAAAGTTCAGCATTAATAACAAAATCTATTTCAGTATTTTGTATATCTAAAATATAATCTATTTTATAAACTGCTAAACAATATTGTAATTTTATTTCATCTATTTTCTTATTTATTATATCAAGGAACTCAATGTCATGTAGAAGAGAATTATTAAATTTCCATAAACCTTTTCCACGACTAACAGGAACAAAACAAAAATCTAAATATATAATTGAATGATCAGATCTATAACTAACATCTATGTCACATTTACGTACAAACTGATACAGATTACTTGTTACAAGAAAAAAATCTAATCTACAAATTTTATATAGGGTTAGTTTGTCTTCATGTATATTTTCTGACATCACCATGTAATTCTCTAAAAGGGTCTATTAGGTCTTTATCTTCAATAACTTCTATTAACAAATTTTTAGCCTTAATATTATGAACCTTTGATTTATAATTATGGTAATCTAAGTCTGGATTCTGAACAAGATTAAAGTCTCCACAAAAAATTAATGAATCATTATCACTTAAAGAATCTAAAACATCAAAAATATTTTTAAAGAAATTAGGACTGTAAAATTACATTAGCATGTTGGTTCGGTATAATAAGAACTAACTCAAACCAATGTGTGTTATTTTTTATAATTAAATCTTACAACCATTTTTACTTACAACCATTTTTTACTAGTTCATATAAACTATGTAATCCCTTATGTCCTATAAACTTCGGGCAATTTTTTTTTCAACATAAGACGTATTTTCAACTTTGTATTAATTATTAAAGCGTCTAAAAGCAACAGTTTAAAAGGTACGCTCTCCGTTCCGGCGGAAGAACAGCTGGATGACGTGTATTGCAATGCGGGACCTGTTGGCACAAAATTGTCGGAAACTTCAATTCTGGTCGAAAAGCTTAAGACCTATGTAGATAAAATAACACGGAACGACAACAATCTCGAAAAAGAATTTAAGGTATGTACATGTAATAAAAATCGGCCGGTTATTGGCAATGATTGGTTATTGACTTAATGCTTCAGAAAGATACATATTGGCTGTAATTGATTTTAGCATTATTGAAATTTTAATTTCTTTCGTCTGAGAAGATTAGCTTTTATCTATTAGCCTATACAGAGTATAGACATCCGTGTAGAGTATAAATCTCAGAGCTTGGGATACGTTGATAACTTATGCACAATGCGTTAAATCGCAGTGGATAAAGGTGTATAAGGTTGGAGCGCTATATATTCATATTCTGAAATTGTTATGTGTCATACTTTCAAAAATAAATTAGTTTTGGTAATGCTTTTGACTATCTTGCAAGCAATGTCTCTTTAAGACAAAACTGAATATATTCCAAAGGCCAATACTTTACGGGTTAGCCATGCAGAATTTGTGTTCATTTTAGAGGCATCGGGTCAATGTCAAATACATTGTATCGTAGATTGTACGACATTTAACATTGACCCATTAAAAGTAATGAAGTTTATGAAAAAAACAAAAAGCAACATCAAAAAATATGACAAGATTAAAAATATATTGAATACATGCGTGGCTTTTTATTCAATTTTATTAACTATTTTCAGAAACTACCCGTCGGGTTACAGCACCCTACCACAGTGGCAAAAAATCCGGGAAATGCTGGCAAAAACAGATATAAGGCCATGTATGCGTGTATGTATCAAATATTGTGTTTTATGTAGTACTACGTGAAATTATTTTATTATTAGGTTGTTGTTTTATTTGCGTATAAACGATGGGTTGACAAATAGACATTCTCGAGCAACTTCTTTAACATATATAGTAAGGTTATAATCGAATTTTTAATATTGCATTCGGTCCAATTGCTAATTTTGATTCATAATTATGTAGATTATATTTTTACAGCAGCTGTGTGTATATTATTATAATTTAAATATCACAATTATCCAATCAAAAACGACGTTTCACTCCGTAATGTAACACATGTTTAGAAATACAAAATTGATTACCCTAAATTAAATACGAATCAATGAAAAAGAAAGAACTAAGATGACATTACTTATGTTATACATATACTTAAGATGTAATACAGGTGATTACTGGATATTCATAATTCACGAATATTCACGAACTTAGTTGACTTTGCAATATAGCTGTGTCCAATATTCTTTATAATGAAATTCCAATCGTAATTCCAGACTCCGTGAAGTTATTCATACTTTATCATTTCAGATGATCATTGTAGAGTTATACTAAAATCGTTACCAGATAATCCATACAGCAATTACATAAATGCAGCCTTCATCAGGGTAAAATATCAAGTTTTCTACTCAGTGATTTGCTAAAAATTATCAGTAAAATAAAAAATGTATATCACTCTTTCGGTCCAGTGAAATTTTATATTTTGATGTTAATAATATTTTGATTTTATTAGACTTACAGTATTCGTATTTGATTTTAGAAATAAACTGTTCTCTTTGACGGACTCTTGCTTCTTTAAAGCCGATCATCTATGAAAATATAAAACACATAGTAATTATTTCAGTACAGGACACTTGCCAGATTATTTTTATTTAACTTAAATGGAACAAGTTATTTCCTACATGACATGATTTGGATCATTTAACACATTCTGCATGCATATTTTACAAGACTCATGAACAAGTATTTTACATCAAAATTAGATGATTCTAAATATTTCTGTTTTATCCTTCAGGGTCACTTAAAGGAAAATGCTTACATAGCTGCCCAAGGTAAGTGATACGTTGCGAATATTTTTGATGCTCTTGCAAGTAACTACATGTATAATTGCTTATACAAACAATAATATTTATAGCTGAAAACCATGTCCAATGAGGTAAAGATAATTCATATCTGGATAATAAGTTCTAGAAACATTTTGAAATTAATGAGTTCTCATAAAAAACAACTGATTTTCTTCTTAATTCGGCAAATGCCGTATGGGTCCCAAACATATTGAGTCACGCGACTTTGATAAAAAACAATATTGTCTGCTGAGCGCTTTCCTTATGTACGAAAGGTGTCGAAGTCTACAGAATTCTCACGAACTGTTGGTGAAAGGTAGAACGTAAGCTTTTTTTTTAAATCTGCCCTTTTTAAAGAAATGTTTTTTTGCAACGTTCTTGCAGTGATGTTAAATGGTTGATTGTTAAATGGTTGATATAATGATTTTATTTGCTGTTTTTAATTTAAGGACCAATTGACTTTACTTTAGACGACTTTTGGAGAATGATTTGGGAAAAGGATATTCAAACTGTTGTTATGGTCACAAACTTAGTCGAACTAGCTAAGGTAGAATCTATATATTTATTACAAATTTATTTTGAATCTTTGTATCTTCCATTTGAAATAGCATGAAATAAGTGTGTGTGTACTTGTGTGTCGCACGCTTGCGTGCGTGCGTGTGCGTGTGCGTGCGTGCGTGTGTGCGTGCGTGTGTGCGTGTGTGTGTGTGTGTGTGTGTGTGTGTGTTAATAAATAGTCACAACTGAGAACATGAACAGTTTTGAAGACTTTAAGTAAGATAACATTTCGATGATATCGAAACTGATACAAAAATGTCTCAATTTTGAAAGATACAATTACTTATAATTTTTATATTTGAAGTTATTGAAGATGTAAAGCAAATTGCACGGTACCCTCGGTTTAAAAATATCACCTGGAAGACTGTTTTTTTATAACTGTAATTGAAGAAGAGGAATGAAATTTGCGACCATTGGATATGGTGGGGGGGTACAATTCAGTTCAGTTGAATACTATACATGTTTTTTGTTTGTATTTTGATATTTGTTTTCATAGATGAAATGCATAAGATATTGGCCAGATCTTGATGAACGGTTGATGTATGGTTCGGTGATAGTGCAAACAGAGTCTGAGGATATATTTGCTGAATTTACCATACGGACATTAACAGTTTTACATGAGGTGTGGAAATTTTTTATATCTTTATTTTTACTCAAATAATAGTATTATAACACTGACAAAAAGTTAGTTTACTTGCTTGTCAGGAAAAATTGAAAATGATATACAAAGTTTCGCTGTACGGTATTTCTGTCTTTATAAAATTAAGACAAAACGCATATATGGCATATAAGCGTCACATGTTCGTGAACGTGTTTATACCTTTTTGTTTGTTTGTGTCATTTTACGCCTTTTCCCAACAGCATTTCAGTCATTAAGGCGAGTTGTTTTCTAACCATCGTTCCTGGAGAGTTACACCAGTACTAGACTCCCTTCCTCCAGTACTGGTGTAACTCTCAAATGACATAAATATCATAAATATATAATATCATTTCGGATAATATGCATATTACATATTGAAAATATAGCCCTAAAATGAGGGGTCGTTATAAATTATAAAGTTTCACTAAACGGCATTGTTTCTTTTCTGTTACATTTAGGAATAGAATAATTAATGTAGTGTATTTTGTAGTGTTGTGCACGGCTTATGAAGTTTCAGGTAATACTTTAATGTCCCTAATTGGAAATTTAAGTATCTTAATTTATGGCAAGTAGGAACTTTCAAAATGTCGGTATTAATTTTCTTGAAATTTGCATGATCAAAGAGACCTAATGCTTAAATATGTTGTCACAATCCTTGTTATGCGACTTAGTTTACTACATGACATGGCAAAAAATATATCCTTGCAGACCGGTTTGTAATATTTCTGCTATCATGTTCTGAGACTTAACTTATTAAACACCCAATTTACTTTGTCAGAATTATCCAGGGACTGTTAGAACTGTGACACAGTTTCATTACACGGCATGGCCAGATAAAGATGTTCCTCGCAGCACGACTAGTTTATTACATTTCTGGTATCGTGTACGGAAACACGATAAGGAAAAGGAACGCCCTTGGCTGGTCCATTGCAGGTAAGTTGCTTATTTTGAAATATAAATATAAGAATATAAAAAAATATTTCGAAAAACTAAATGGCATAATTAATATTAGCCTGTAGGTACAAAACGGTCGGGGTATCTGAAATTATAAATACATCAAGTTAAACGCATGTCTTCTTTTCATTAATCATCATTTAGTTTATACAAGGAATTGTTTAAATGCATGACTGTACATCTGGATGAAATACACGTGACTGTCCTGATAAGGTGATATCCAAATGCACGTGATTGCATGAATGCACCTATCTTTTAGAATGCGCGTTAAGTCACAATATGTCTGCACTGTTCGCTATAAAGATTTAAAGAGTGGTAAGGGTAAGCTTGCGTTTACAGTCTAAATGAGATATACTCCGTTATTATATCCGTATTTTAATGCTTATAATATTTGAGAAACGTGACACATCCTCATTTTCTTTGCCTACTTTTTCATACCTTATTGCAATTTTCTAGTTTACTAAATAAAGAATAAAGAAAATCCCTTTCAGACAGGGTTATGACCTACATCAGCTAGGTTAAATAACATTTCATAATAAAACTGTACAACTGTCTATATGTTTATTTACAAACCGTGTAGTGCCGGAGTTGGAAGAACAGGGACTTTCACCGCTCTTGACATCTTATATGACCAAGGCATGGACCAGGGTTATGTAGATATTTTTGGATGTGTCAGAGATCTCCGAGATCAAAGGATCAGTATGGTGCAAACAAAGGTAGATAGCATATTGAACATTTAACCTAGAGACAGGTAAATTCTATTTTATTGCCTTTTAATGTCAAAACTTTACCAGTATTAAAGTAAATTAGTTAAAGAATATGAAGCTACTCATCATTTACCTTCTTCACATACATTTCACAATTTATTAAAGTCGACTGTTTTACATCGGCAACTGGTAAGTTTCAGAAAAAGAAGAGGGTAATTATAAATAAGGTACAGTGTGCCGCTTGTATAAACTGTCCTCTCTTCAATTCAATTTCCTAAAAAGAAATGCAAATTTAATTTCCATGTAAACAGGACATTACTATTTTTGTAAATAAAGCGCAAGACTCGGAATACTAATTAAAAGTATAAAATAAAACGAAATGTGTTAATTATTCCGAACGAAATTGCTTTCCTGTTGTTTTTTTTTACTAAATATTTACGTGTTTCGAAATAATTTTCACTTGGCCGGCTATTCTTTTGTTCTTTAAGCCCCTGAAACGTTTTTATTTTTATTTCTCAAAAGTTTTTTTTTATTTTGGTGTCCTATTATAGTTTTCAAATAATTTCTCAATTTGTCAATTTATCTTAAACGCATTTGCTTCTGTTGGTTTTTGGCAATTAGTACTTTTAAATGATTTATTGTTTTGCATGTAAGTCCAATTATACAACTTTGTTTTCGTTTTGCTACTTTTATGACCCATTAAAATTGCATATTAGCGTTACTTACTTCTGGTGATAAGCATTTAACATGGTATAAAACGATGATTTACACTCTCTATAAAACTCATGTTTGACCGTTTTAAAGAAGAAAAACATGATTTGTTTTTAAGGCATAATTTGCCTTATATCATTAGTTGTCTAATTGTCGTACATATGTTTCGTAAAAGGTCACTGTGTGGCGCCGTTATATATCGCAACGACGCTAATAGTCCAGTCAGTCTAGCCTAAAAATGGCCAAAGGTAGAAAAAATTGCAAAATAATTTATTTGCATGTTCACTGCGGTATACCGTACCCCGGATATTGCTCGATATTATGAGGACTTTCATCCCATTTTGCGACTTTGAACGGGGAACGAAGGTAAGTTCAGCGACGATATTTTCCAAACAAATGGCTATTTCATTTATCTAAACGGGTTTTATATATCTAGAGGTATTTTTGTAGCTCTAAAAGACGTAAAAGTATTACAGGTATTTGTAAAATTGATTAAACTACCCCTAAACGATCCGCTGCTCACTAGAAAATACTGACCGCGATACTGTAGAATCGTTAGAAATTATTATATTACCAATATAAAAAAAATTGAATCGAGCAATTTTTTTATTCACAATCCAAGTATGCCTTGTCCAAATTTCAGGCAAAAAGTGTGAAAGTACAAAAAGATACAGGCCAAAAATGATACAAGACAGTGTACCGAGTATTGATTTTAAGTGTACAGAGTATTGCAAAATAGCCCAACTTTAGTGTACAGAGTATTGCAAAACAGAATGAGCACATTAGTATGGAAACTCGATATTTTTGTCTAATTTTCACGTCTGTTTATCGATTCAATTTCATTTTTCTGATAATGTACTGTTTATATGATATTTATTCAAATATTTCAGATTCAACAGTGCATTTTCAGTGTTATTACTGTTCTTTTCCTACGGGCAAATACAGAGATTTAATTTCCAATTTCGTTGAAAATCACACTATGGATGAAATTAAGTATGTGCAGGGTCGGAAGCAGGGTAGAACCATCAAAATTGGCGATAAAAAACTTTAAATACATGTCTCAAGACACTTTGATCAAGGAGACCCATCTCTGAAATGGACAAGAATAAAAAAAATATTTAGATGACATTGATAATAGGTTTTTACAGGGCAAGTTTGCCTTAAGAAACATATCGACGCACTTAATAAAATATTGGCCTGAGGGCTTATGCCGTTTAAGCATGCCGGTATCGTCTTAACCTTTTACTGCATTGAGCATAATGCGAAAAATGGCTGTTTTCATTAAATTATAATTAAGCCTCTTGTTACAAGTTCAAACTGCTATGAGAACTATAAAAAATGCTTCAATACTGATCAAACAGGGCACAAATGTTAGCTGGACCATAGCCTGTGGAATAGCATGCTCAATTTTAAATTTCCAATTATCATGGCAACGGGGTAGGGGCGTCTCAAAATTGCCAAAAACCTCTATTTTGCGTTGTTTTTTTCCCATCAAAACTGATTTCAAGGTACACCAACTTCTCAATTGATTGAGATAAAGTCTTAGGTTTTCGGCGTTTATTACACGGTACCTTTAAATAGACCTGAGGCCATTTAGCCCCCCACAAGTTCCAAGTCTTCTCGGCGATTAGAGGGGCTACTGCCCACTTCAAACCCCCAAACAGAAGGGGGCACATCCCCCCCCCCTGCGTAAGCCCCTTGATGTACCTTTTTAATAGGGGTAGCGCCGAAAAAGTGATCACTCTTTTGAAACAACATTTCTCAAACGAAAAAAAAAACCGTGTTTGGGGCCTAAATAGCGCATGTTTTACACTATTTGAGGCCTCAAAAGGGGTGGGGTGTAAAGCCTTCAAAAAACACGCCTTTATGAGGTAAAAGGTTATAAGGAACATAAGCTTTTTTATTGCATCTGCTGCCCTTTATCATAATCTTATCAAAATCTTTTATTCGGTTTTTGAGCTGTACCCGCTCGGCAGTCATACGGTAACTCATTGCTAATGGCGTAACAAAAATTTCAAGTGCAGACGGTCTGCCGTTGCTAGAATGCAGGTACAAAATGCCCGAAAGTTACCTTTATATGGATTTTTGGCATAGAAGGAAGTCGGTTGATATTAAATATTGGCACACTTGCTCAATACCGTCTAATATTAACAATATTGAGGCAGTATTAATGCACTTTGGATGCATTTTTTACTATTTAAAGTAAGATACTAGTATGCAATAATTATTAACAAATTCTGGAAAGGTTGATCCTTCGATAGCAACGAGGACATTTTAAACACAGAAAATTGCTGAGTTCGTTCGGCTGAGATTTTTCACGAGCAGGAATGTAAATCTGGATTATTCGCAGATGTTTTCAGTAAAGTACCTCCGAATTCTGCATATTCTGCACATATAGTGTAAATAAGTATACACAGTAAGAAATATTTAAAATTAAATGTGGTAAATACTTTGTGTTTACTACTTGCATTTACTCTTCATTGGATAACCAATACTCGTTACACTAAAAGCAATACTCGTGACACCGGCGGGCAACTCCAAACGCAATACTCGGTACACTGACATGTGTATTTATTCTCAAAAATGCACTGTCATCTGAGGTTCTATTGTTTGATTGAACATTTACAACATAAACATTATCATCATTTATCACATTTCACTCGATTCAAGTTTTTTCTTTTTAGGAAGTATAGCACAAAAACATCAAATTTGACTGATCTGAGCTCATTTATCACGTGAGCAAAAAAAAAGAGACGAATTTTTACCTCCTAATTATATTTCAAAGCTATTCTCAACATTTTTGGAGTTTCAGTAACTAGAGAAATTATCGTAGTATTTGTTTTTCTACAAAATTTATATCAAACCAATTCAAAATAACTAAATATCGTCACTAAACATACCTTCTTTCCTCGTTCAAAGTCGCGAAATGGGATGAAAGTCCTCATAATATCGAGCAATATCCGGGGTACGGTATACCGCAGTGATGTTTCTTAGTATTTTTATATATGAAGAATAACGTGATCACGGTTTAACCTGTTTTGCTTTTTCGAAAAACACTCAAATATTTAAAATTAAACATGCCTTAAACTTTTGCTAGGATTAGACTGAATTGACAGAGCTTGTTTTTTGTTTTGTCGTTGATATTGTTCGTTTCATTGTTTTGGAGCCATTGAAGTCAAAAACATGTTTGTAGAAACTTGTGGTTTTTTATATTTAGCTTATATTTGTCATACTTCAGGGGTCAAATATTACCCCACCCACTTTTTCAACAATGGCGACACATTCTCAAGTTTTTACTATTAATATAACTATTGAAACTTATCATTGTGTTGATGTATCTTAGGAATATTCTTTGAAAGTCATTATAAACAACAAAGAAAATAACTTTAAATCATTTTTCTACATTCATGACAAAAGGCTCCACCTTTTTCAAAAATAAATAATGCAATAATTAAAATACAAAATAAATTATCCAAATCCTATTATAAACAAAACTATATCCTTAAGATTTGTTCTAAATTAATTTATTTTAATTAGTTCATTTTGATTTTATATCAAATGAAATTCATATGCATGTATGTTCATATGTTTTCACAAAAATACCTGAATTGTGACATCTTAAAAAGTTTTTTTTTCGCCATTTTCATTGATGGATTTTGACACTCTCCCCATTGAAATGAGGCTTAAAAATAACATTGTGTCTTAATTAGGCATTGTTACGTATGGTGCACAAGGTATTAATTCTTTTGCATTTTTTTCTAGGTTATAAATTGAATGGCTGGACTATAAATGTCACACTTGTTACTAAATATCGTACCATTGCCGCTAAATGTCACAACCGCCGCTAAATGTCACAACCGCCGCTAAATGTCTCTAAATATTTTGCCATTAAATGTCGCACCATTTTCCTTTACCGTAAAATGTCACAATACTATCGTTTTGTAAAAGTTTTCTTCGATGGACCTTTCACATGCATAACTTTTCTATCTTGAAAAATATAAACTACAGTAACATAGACATTGAGGCAGATCGAAAACTGTAGCTTAGATCAATAGCAATTGTGTACATATGACTTCTGTTTACAAAACTGCTGGAACCGAAAAGATTTTACCATATAGAGACACATGTATGACAAGCTGCACCGGCTCTGTACTTATAGCTGACTAAATTTTGAAATGGCTACCTTGATATTACTAGACTGATCGATGGAAGCTTGAAAAGTGAATTTTACAAATTCAGCAGGTAAGATAAGACTTGCAAATGTGTACAGTATTACCATTGTCAGAATTGTCGGGACT